TCTCTTTGTCCCAGCTGGTAGAGAAGCGGCTCCTGGCCTTGGAGGAGGAGGGTGTGCAGGCACCCCGGAGTCACAGTGCACCCCAACTGGCCTCAAGGCCTTCTGAGTCTGCGGCTGGCCAAGATGCCCAGAGATGTGACCACAGCCCCCAGCTGGGGGTCAATGACAAAGTCTCCCCACCAGAGACTGTCTTCAAAGATGGTCAAAGCCATGGTCAAGCAGATGCTCATCTGTCCAAGCCCAAAGCCTTTGCTGTTTCTTCAGGACATCAAGAGTGCCCGCCACTGCAAGCTCAATGGTCCCTCTTTGCTCCCCAGGGTCACAGGTGCACTTCCTCTGTACTGGGGCCCAGGGCTGCCTCCATTCCCAGAGAGACCTCTCCCATTAGGGAGACTCGCGGGCCAGTGGGCAGGTCCAGTGAGGAAGAGGAGGACCTTCCCAACCTGTCTCTTTTCTGGGCCTCTCCCAATAGCCTGCTGCCTTCTGTGGTCTCTCTGAGTCCTGTCTCTGTCTCGGGCCCTGCCTGCCCTGGAGGTCAGGGGCCCCAGGGAGCTTCCCAGTCCCAGCCTCAAAAGAGAAAGTGTGACCAGTCTGTCGCAGGGAGTTGGAGGAAACGGCACCACAGCATGTACGGAGCAGGGGAGTGTCTCTCTCCCTGCCAGACCCCGGGAGGCCCAACCTAGATGTGACCTGGCTGTCCCCAGGAGGAGCCAAGGGCTCCTTCTCATCCCAGGGCTGCTCCTGGCTGTTCTACTGACATGATTGGCAGGGAGGGAAGGCAGGGCCAGCAGGGTGGGGGTGGGCCTGGGGGTAGGAGCAGCTCCTTCGGGGCATTGTGTGTCAATTATAAATAAAGATGGTTTTGTTTGCAAGTGCTGTACTGGCCATTGTCTCCATATTGTGGTCTGTGCTGCAATTTAGAGATGGGACCTGAGAGGAAGGAAGGATGCAGGAGACCATGGGTGCTATGGATTCAGGGGTGACCCCTCCGTCCCTCTTTCCAGATGACAGGGACTCCTTCCAACTGCTGCTGCGAGCACACAGCTCTCTGATCCCCAGGGAGCCCTCCCATCACTTCTACTGTCAAGGCCAGACTGGGTGAGAGACCTCCCGGAAGCAGTCAGGCCAGGGGCTGATGGACTCTCAGCCCTTCCAAAGTACAGATACAGATTATCATTAGTAGAGAGGTTTGACTACACAGAGACCATAATAACCCAATTGTTTCCAGACTCATATGAAAACCCTGTCAATGAGTGGCAAGTGACAATTAGGCTTCATCTGGTGGCAGGCTATATAGCCATATCCCCCACCCACTGTGGAAAAATTGTCTTCCATGAAACTAGTGACAGAAATGTTGGGGACCACCAAAGTAGCCCATAGAGTAAGACATATATGCAGTACTGTCCCTGAGATAGAAAAGTAACTTCAGCTTCAGTTAATCACTTTTTCCCTTTATACATGATTTGTATTTGATCCTTTGTTATTATAAATGTATTGGCAGACATGTTCATAAGAGCAAAATACAGAAAACCTTCCAAAAGCCCACCAGCTGAAAAAAGAGTACATACATTCTTTTATGTGCCAATTATCTAACTTATTACTTCCCAATTACTCTTCATTGCCTCTTCTTTGTAAATAGATCTGGATCCTTTAAATATGTTGTCCTTGCCAAAAGGCATGATGTTAAACTTTGAGGAGAAGGCATTGGAGAGACATTGAAAGGAGGAGTTCTCCTTCCTGGTTCCCATGTGCTCCCTTAGGGGGCTCCTGCGTGCAAATGACCTCTCCAGCCCCTGGCCGCTGCAGTGTGCATGGCTTTACCATTGCCCCCATCCTGCAGTACGTGCTGCTGCTACAGCACCTCCCACCTCCTTGGTTCTTGCTGTTCAAGGTGGCCAGCAAAACCAGCAGCAGGAGCTTTTTCCAATGCTACCCTTGGCTGGTTTTGTAGTAGAGTGCCTCTGGCAAGACACTTCCCTATAAACAGCTTCCCACAGTAGCTTAAGTGCAAGATTCTGGGGAGTTTGGGGGTATACAGTTCAGCAAGTTCTGCTACTGCAGCACCACAGCTGCTTCTCTGATATTTAGTGAGGCCCATGGGGCGGGGAAGACTCTTCACTGGCTGTTCCATCTCAGACCTACCTACAGTGACCACTCCTTGTTTCTGCTATTCTATTCTTTAGAGTACTCTTTACTTTTTATTAGACAGTATCTCATTATTCCCATGCTGTTATGATTAATCATTCCTTATATTAACTTTCCCTATTTATGTTTCTGTGTGATTTCTCTGCCTTGGCTGGACCTTGAATCATAAATGTCATATTCATGCAAGTGAATGCTCTATGTCAGTGAAATCTAGTGAACTACAGCCACAATAATGCATGGAGCAACCTTCAAAGTGAGTGAAAAAATCAAGTCCTGGAATAATGCACATGGTATCATTTTATTTATAAAAAGTTCAAAAATACACAAAGCCAAGAACACACAGGGGATATAGTCATGTGTGGTAAAATTATAAATAACAGGAAAGAGCAACATAAGATTCAAGAATGTGAGTATCTCTGGTAGAAGAGGAAGGCACACTGGTCAACAGTACAGGGGGCGGTGGGCAAGGATATTGGTAATGTTCCTTTTCTTCATTTGGTTATTGGAGTTGGGGAGGTTTACAAATGCTATTTTATTTGTTATTTTTCACTATACATATTGTCTAACTAGTGTGATAAGATAGTGTCCTTTCCGCTTCAGAGGCCACGCAGGACTTGAGGCCTCTGTTTGGAGCAACCCTGTGAATTGTCCCTTGGATTCTTATACAGACTGATGTGTCCTTTATGTGCAATGACAGGAGTGGGCTTCGAAGTGCTGAATTAGACTCGATTCCCTGATAACACCACGTAACAGTGTTCACATATTAGGCTGTTCTCCTTAATTTTAACACATAGTTCAGTTTCAGAATAACCTTCTGTAATTATAGAATAAAAATCATCTACCTCTCTTTTTTGATCCATGGGAAGAAGGAAAAAAAATACTAAGATGCACACCACTTTAATTTTTAGCTTGTCAATACACCCATGATGGTTCTTTCCGTGTGACAGGACATACCTATTCATTATGGGCTCTTTACCAGAAGCACCTTAAGCTACTTCTCTCAGAGTTCCTGCTGCAGCCTGCACCATGAAGGCTGCAATGGAAATCTGTCTCTTCACTTCTCCCCAGGCCTTGGAAGGATCCACTTTGCTTTCAATATCAAACAGAGCATCATAAATTCCTGGGAATGACTCCCCCGCATACTTGTTGTGACTGCTTGGTGCATAGATGACATGTCTGTTGATAAAAAATAGTTTGCTGTCTATCAGTTGTCCAATGATATATACAAGTGAAAAACAGGAGCATGCTACAAATCCTGGATCACGTAATTCTAATTTTATAATTTCAATAAGCCATTTCTCAACCCAACTTCCATGTTCAATCACCTCCAAAGACTAGTCTATGGACTATGTATTAATTAGTTATATTTTGACTTTAAACAGGTGACTTAAAGTGGTTTTGAGCAACCAATACAACAACAATAGCAAAAACAGCTTGTCATCTGCTATCGACCACACTTGACAGAATTTACCTATAATTTTTATAATCCTTAAAAATAAACTCTAAAAAAGTTAATATTAGCACTTCACAGAAGAGGAAATTGAGGCCTGAGAAATTAAGTGATTAAGTGATCAGTCTCGAGGCACATCGCAAATATGTGCTGACTCTTCACTATACCATTTTATCCCCCGAAATGTGGCAAAACTAATTATTAATATCCTATCTGTGACCATCCAACCGACTATTTTCCCCCTCTTTAAAAAAGAAGTCATGCAGACATGTTAAAATGCTTAACTTAAAGCACAAAGAATCTTTAGAAAGAATTATAATGTTAAACCTGACTAAAGCAGAAGGAGTCATTTTATTGAGTTGGCGAGTTATGTCAGTTTCTGTTATAGCCCTGGCAGGGAAGAACAAGTTCCAAAGTAAGTAAGTAAAGAAGAAAAGAGGCAAAATCATTCCACCATTGGCAATGCAGTCACCCTGTCTGGATAATGCCCTTACTCCCAATTCCAACCCTTTGATAATCCCTATATACTGATCCCTGATGGTCAATAATTAATTCATTCTGTAATACTTAGTAAGATCAACCTGGGAACAGAAATGATATCTATCAAAAATAGAAAAAAAATCTAATGTCAACATTAAGAGAGTGGGTAAATTATTATATCATATATTGTATGATTTATGTATAAATATTGGGTGGGCACAAGTAGGTTTACAGTTGTAATACAAATAAATAATACAATAATATAAGAAACTGTTTCACATATTCACAACTGTAAACCTACTTGTGCCCACCTCTGTACATATTCATTATGTCTTATGTATATACATAAACATAAAATGAGAGAAGGACTAAAATTATATACATTAAAATATGAACATGATTTTATACATGACTGATGGGATTGGGGAGATTTTTATTTTCTCCCTGTGACTTTCTTGATCTTCTAATTTCTTACAATGAACATACATCCTTTTATAATCAGAAAGAATATAGTAAAAAGAAAGATGCATAGTGATCATATTACATTATATCAAGAAAAAGTAATATCTACAACATGTATTTTAACATTTTCTATTGGCTTGCAAGAAATCAATTATGATACTATTTTTCTACAGTGCAAAAACAGAAATGTTATTAGAATGAGTCATTTTATCCCCTTACCTATAGAAAGGCCTGTTTGGTAACCCTAAAGGATCAATAAATGCTCGTTCCAAAAACATCAGTTGGTCATTCATAATTCTCAACATTATTAGGCTAAAAAGGAAATGAATATAGTTATAACCTCATGAAAGTGTATGCACTACTTAGCAAATAAAAAATTTAGAACAAAGCTAAACAATGTTAATATATTTTAAATTCCTATACTTTCAAATTAAGAACAATGTAGAATTTCCATACCGCAACCATGGCCCAGTTTGTCCGTACCCTCGCAGGGAAGGCCCCAGTGCCGGTAAATGCTGCTGTGACTTACTCTAAACCTCTATTGGCCACCCTTTGGCAGTATGCCAACGTTGAGTTGCTTCCTCCAACCCCTGCTGAGATCCCAACAGCTATTCAGAGGTTGAAAAAAATAGTCAACAGTGCTCAAACTGGTAGCTTCACACAGCTCACAGTTAAGGAAGCTCTGCTGAATGGTTTGGTGGCCACTGAGGTGTGGATGTGGTTTTACGTCGGGGAGACCATAGACAAGCGTGGCATCGTTGGCTAAAATGTTTAAAGACCAATCTTTAACATCTATTTTTTTTTTTTTGGTTTATTATTTGAATGTTCTTGGACCATGAATAATCAGAATGGTATTTGGATTTTAAAAAAAAAGTATTTCAAAAAAAAAGAACAATAATGTAGTTACATTTTAAAAATTCTGCAAAATACTCTTTTGCTGAGGCTTATAAAACCATAGAAATAGTTATTGTGTGCTAATGAAAAAAATGATAGTAACTTTTATTTATATTGAAATAATAATTAACTGATAAACCCAGGTACTTACACACAGACAATACTTTTTTCATCTTAGGTATCTTATTAATCTATTCATGGAAGTAATTTCAATACACACACACACATTTTCCCTCTCTCTTTCTCTCTCTCTCCGTTTCCTATCTTGCGGCTACCACTGAAAACCACTGAACATTCCTTATACAGCGAGATTCAATTTGAAGTAACCCTGGGAGGTAATGCTCAGAGCACCAATTATGTACACGGATCTTCTCACTCTAGAAACATGCTGTCTTCCCTTGGGAGACTGGAGAACTATGAGTCTTCAGAATGAATACAATGTGAGCACGAGGATACCAAGGAGTCAACACTATATCCTTTGATGGGTCAAGGAATTGATTAAAGAAGGGTCTCCTCCTCAGATTTCAGTTTCAGTTTCATTTACTTTAACCAGCATTTACTATTGTCAAGCACTGCACTGCTCTAGGTATTCAGAATTTGTAAATAATAACCCAGAGAAAGAAACTGTACCTTAAGTATCATTTAGAACAAATAAAACAAGTACAGAAATACTCAAGGAAGTGAAAGTCATAACCTGAGCTACAGGTAGTTTGCCAGAGGGAGAAAATATGATTATTTTAAGGAACTCTTTGTTGACATTTTTGAACATAAATTTGGAAAGAATTATAAAGAGTAAAAAAACTCCATATTCATCACAGGCTAACACAATTGTTATACAAATTGGTTTACTTTTTCTTTATGTTCAATAAAAATGTAATCAACTATATTTACAATTTTATATCCTTTTTTTAGTTCACATCTTATTATAAATATCTTACTGTATTTCCTTTATAATCATTCATTTTAATGTTTATAAAATGTTTAAATTGGTGGACATCTAATTATTTTTTAGTAATTTCTTTCCTAATAGGTATTAAGATTATTTTTAATTATTGGGCATTATAAATCCTATTTTTCTCATGGAGGCCTTTTTTTCCTTTTAAACTTGAGGCTCTTTCCTTGAGAAAACAATTCAAGAAACAGAAGTATTACAGCAAAGTGTAAAAACTATGTGATAGCTCTTAAAACTCTAGCAATATGTATTTCTATTTTTCAAAAGGTTAAAACAAGACACAGTTCTTCAGTGACCAGCATGCAGCAATGGGTACATCCAAATTTTAAATAGTTACTAACTTACTATGCAAATAGTATAACAAAATTTTAATTTGTATTTTTGATTTATTAATAAATTTGAATATTTTTTTATATCTGATTCTGTACAGGTGGTATTCTTTTTTAGATTTATTTTGTCCACTGCCAGTATTTCCAACTTTGATCTTTTGGATTTTATCAATTTTCAGAAAAAAATTATAATATGTACATGAGGCAGGAGGTACCATAGGAAGAGCTCTGAGACTACCCTGCTGCTGGTAGTGGCCAGCATCTAGTGTCCTGGTTGCCAGGCAATGCCTTTTAGCCCTCAGGTAGGACAGATAGTAAACCAAGGGAGGGAGGAGGAGGGAGACATGTCCCACCCACTAATTCAGCAGTCCTGAGCCTGGTTTGATAAGACTGCCAGACATTCGAAACAGCACAAGCAAAGATAGTACAGGAGGAGGGAAGAGTTCTTGAGACAGGGCTCCTGTAAGCTTCTGTAACAATCTTACTAAGATTGCCAGGTGTTCTGAACATTCCGAGGCCTAGAAGGTGGGAGGAAAGTCCTTGAAATTCTATGTACCATTTCCATTATCTGGGAAAGAACACTACACCGCCACACATATCTACTTATGGGTACTGATGTCTCTCTGGGGGAAGCTGGCACCACTTTTACCCATCAATCAATATGTAACTCCCTCACCCCCATCTTACCAACTATGTAAGTCCTCAGAACAATGGACCTGAGGTTTCTGGCCACCCTGCCTCTTGCTCTTGCCACCCCTGCTCTTGCCTTTCTCCCCCATCTTGGCAAGGCCTGCTCTCTTCCATTAAAGCGCATCGCTAGTAATACCTGCTTGCAAGCTAATAGACTTGCTGATCTGTAATTCTTTGCGGTGTCAGCAAGAAGAATCAGATTTCTTCTGTTAATGTATATTACCCTCTTTCCAAATTCAGTGGGAAAGAGGCTCCTCAGGCTTTTGCCCAGGGGAAGTCTTCCTGAGGACACTGAGAGCTCTCCTGCCCCACCCGCCGCACCCTCCTCACCAATCCTCTGGGCATTAATTAGGAGATGGGCCGTCCCTCAGGGGTTTCAGAAGAGGTTTCCCACTTTTTAATCTTTGTTATTAATAATTAATTTTCATATTATTAACCAATGCAATATTCTCAAGTCTGACTGCACTGTCATTTCCTTGTTGCTTCTAAACTTGGAGTTTTACTTCCAAGGGATTTCAATTTTTAGTAAAGAACTCCTGTATTCCTGTTACTTATGTTTGCATACAATATGAAATGAGACTCTGAACTCCCTTTTTTATTAGTTTCTAAAAAAAGTTTATACAACAATATTTTTGAATACGTCTTTCTTTCTCCATTGAGTTTTTGTATCCTTCATTACAAATACATCCTTTTATATCCCTAGCTTATTTTTAGGTCTTCTGCTCTTATCTTTCTATGTATTCTTGCATCAGTCCCCAAGGGTCTGATATTTGTGTTATCATAATGTATTTAATATAAAGTAAGTGTTCACTCTCAAAATTCTACTTTTTAAAAAAATTCCTTAATATTCTCATATTATTTTTCTCCCATCTTAAAAATCTGCTCAAATTATGTTTTGTTTTTGTGACTTCATATAGAATTAATCCTAAAACAATGGCTTTACAATATTTGTTATTCCAGATAAATAGAATTTTGCCAGGTAGAAGTGGAAAGCAGAACTCTTTGTGGAGGTAATGACGTTAAGAAGAGGGAGAAAGAAGGTGTGTTCAGGGAATAGGAGAGTTCGGTTGAAGCATGATGGACAGATACTGAAAGAACAGGAGACAAGGCTGGAGAAGGCGTTGGTCATGCAGTGGCGGACCTCCAATGTTAAGGTGGGGATTTGTACTAATGAGTTTGTAGTAAAGGAGGCACCAGCCTTTCTCAGCAGCACAGTTCCCACTGAGAAGATCAGAAATAGGTCTTTAAGAGCAGCCCTGTATGTGTTGAAGTGGAGGGAGAGAAGGAGCAAAAAACTTGCAAAGATATTTCAACAAAGATCTCAATGTGCACCTCTTATTACGTATATCTAATATATACCCAACTTGTATATGTAGGACATACTTGCTTTTATCCACGTCTTGGAGTCTCTCATTGAACTTAGAAGCAATTTCTGTAAAGTTCTTCACTGCAGAAAATAGTGAATCTGAAAGAGAAATAAGGACCTAAATGGCATTGTTCCATAGGTTAAGCAAAGGGAACAATATAGGAAGTTGTTCTCCTTTGTATTTTACAAGGTATTTATCTTTTGTACATTATAGGATGAGCATGAGTGAAATGAAAAATACATTTGTAGACATAAACAAAGTATTTAATCACATGGAATAGCAATAAATAATAAATGGGCCTAAAGTAGGTCATCATATTTTAGGAATTAATAAACATACAGATAGTGAATTCTGAAAGAAGTGTAGCATACCAAATGACACACTGTACGTTTTCATTTCTTGTGGATGTTTCATTGAAATATTGTAGATATTGTCAGCATACTTTCTTAAAGCTACAGCATAATCTCGACAGTCAAACGGGAGAACTATGGAATTGGCTAGTTCAAATACCATCCCTCCTCGAACCTGGGCCACAGCGTGGTGGTACTTAAAAGTTGGATCATAAAACTTTTCCACCAATTCATATGTTTCATAAACACTGTGATACAGTGGATAGCTGCTGAATTTGTTTATTTCCTACAAAAAAACACAAAAAACAAAATGTATGTCTTGTAAGAAAGCTTATAATAAAATATATAGTGCCATATTTACTATTAATATTGGTGAGGCTATTTTGGTCAGTAATGAATAAAGGAAAGTATTTAAGTACCTCAGTAAGCCACTTATTAAAGGGTTAATATAAAATTAAAACTTGCCTCAAGTTTTTACTAATTAAATAATATGTGTATGTAACATCAATGATATTATAAAATTTATCTTGGAAAGACCTAACAGTCTTGCTTTAAAGAGTACAGGAAATGTGGAAAGGTTTCTGAAACAAAGAAAGAATATGTTGCATTTGAGTAAAAACTTAAGAAGACAGACTGGGTAGAGGAAAATAAGCATTATGAGATATTATAAAGGGTAATGCTTCAAATTATTTAATGACTGAAATTCCACAAATGAATGGTTCCTTAACAAGCAGTGTGCTAAAGAGTTAAGAGTCTGAGCAGCAAGGGTTTTAGGAGGGGACCTGAAATCTCATGAAGGAGAGAGAAGGAATGTTAGGACAGTTTGAGAACCCAAGAACACAGGAACCAAGAAGACAAGAGGCAAAGACTTTTTTCAAAGTGTGAGTTGCTGATTCATACCTTTTCCCCATTTTTTAGCTGCTTATTTTTTTATTGATATAAAAGAACGCATTATATACATATGTTAAAAAGACTAAGACTCTGGAATCAGCCCATAAGAGTTTGACTCCAGGCTTAGGACTTAATACCAAATAACTTTTGGTGGTTAGTAACCCAAAGGTTATTAACCTTTCTTAGCTGCAGTGTTCTTAAAGGTAAAATGCAGATAATATTTTAATTTACCCTCTTCGCTACCCTGTCTAAATTTGCCTAATTTCCTACCACAATGGTAGGGGATTAAAGAT